ACACATAAACATACCCTTTGCTTGGTCGTCAGCTGTGGAGCTCCTTCGTTTAAATGACTTTCCAGGAGCAAGAGGTTGAATCCTTTGGCCAGAGCCCAGGGGTGTCATAGACCTCCAGAAGCCTTTGAATTTTGGATTTAAATGTGTTGTTCTGACAGAGGGGTCCTGGGGTAAAGGTGCAAAATGAGGGCCATTCAAAGAGTAAAATGGTACATCCGAGTTATTACCTGACCTTGGCATGTAGTTGACATTAGGGAAGGGACTGGATATTTCCTTCCCTGGCTGTTTGGGGTGTTGAGGTTTTTCATGTGGGGGCTTTGAATTCTCAGGATGTTGGGGTTTACCACTGTGTTGCCTTGCAGGATTTTGTGCCAGGAAGTCTGCATCACCAGCTGGGTATCTGAAATGGAGTGGAGATTCATTTAGCCTGTTGGGCTCCCTACCTGGTGGGCCATGCTGTAGCAGCACATAACTCTTTGGGTCAGAATAGGGGTGCACAGTCTGTTCAGGTTTAGGGGATTTCCTTGAGGCACTCCAAGATGGCTGCAAGGGGTTGGGGGTTGTTGACTTGTCCTGAGTTTTTGATTGATCATCTTGAAGCATGTAGTATGGGATCAGAAAAGGATCAAGTTCACCTTGGACTTTAGGAGGCACTGGCTCTTTAGAGTCACTGGGATTTTGGTTAGATGGTTGTAGTTCCTTCGCTGTCGGTTGATTTTGCTGCTGTTGTAGATACTGACCATTATAAGGCATGAAACTGGTCAGTAGTTGGCCGTTTTGCTGCTTTGGTGGCTGTAGGTTATGTGGCTCATACTGTAGCAATGGATTTACTGGTTCACTTCCTGGAGTCTGTGGTTTAGAGGGCATATTGTAGTGAGCTGGTGGTTGGTGTTGTGGTGAATTTTGCAGCAGATATGGCCAGTTAGGATACAGTGAGTTTGGGACAATATAAGGGTAAATTGGCTGCTCAGGATTGTTAGGCATGCTGAGAATATTGAGTACAGCAGGGTTGCCATCTGGTGGCTGCTTCTCATTTCCATATGGAAGGGACTGAGATGAAGTAGGTGCAGAGGTGGAAGTTGTGGTAGCTTTAGTTGGCATTTGAGAAGGAGGAGCAGAACTCAAGCCATTGCCAAACCCATTATACACCTTTGAAGGGAGGAATGGCAGTAATGGATAGTGTAAATGTGCATTTTCACTGCCAATACCAGCAGGAACAATTTGATGGAGATGTTGATGAAAAGCAATTTGTGGACAGCAATTAGAAAATCCAGGTGGGCAAAACTGAGGGCAGTAGACAGGTGGCATATATGGAGTCTCTGGTTGAGGGTCTTGTGGATAAGCAGGTTTTTGTTCTTGTCCCTTAGGAGTTTCTGTTGCTGGGGGCTTTGGAACAGCAGCTGGCTGATATTCAGGGGCTGGCTGACGGTAGAAGGGGTAGAATGGCTTGTGTACTTGGCCCTGAGGGGCTTCAGGTTCAGGAGCAGCAGTTGGCTTTTCAGGCTCTGGCTGAGGGTAGAATAGCTGCTGTACTTGGCCCTGAGGAGCTTCAGGCTGTGGAGGTTTTGGAGCAGTAGTTGGCTTTTCTGGCTGAGGGTAGAAGGGGAAGGGGTAGGGGTAGGGGTAGAATGGTTGCTGTACTTGGCCCTGAGGGGTTTCAGGCTGTGGAGGTTTTGGAGCAGCAGATGACTTTTCTGGCTCTGGTGCAGCAGTTGGCTTTTCAGGCTCTGGCCAAGGGTAGAATGGCTGCTGTACTTGGCCCTGAGGGGCTTCAGGCTGTGTAGGTTTTGGAGTAGCAGTTGGCTTTTCTGGCTCTGGCTGAGGGTAGAATGGCTGCTGTACTTGGCCCCAAGGAGCTTCAGGCTGTGGAGGTTTTGGAGCAGTAGTTGGCTTTTCTGGCTGAGGGTAGAAGGGGAAGGGGTAGGGGTAGAATGGTTGCTGTACTTGGCCCTGAGGGGCTTCAGGCTGTGGAGGTCTGGGAGCAGCAGTTGGCTTTTCTGGCTCTGGCTGAGGGTAGAATGGCTGCTGTACTTGGCCCCGAGGAGCTTCAGGCTGTGGAGGTTTTGGAGCAGCAGTTGGCTTTTCTGGCTCTGGCTGAGGGTAGAATGGCTGCTGTACTTGGCCCTGAGGGGCTTCAGGCTGTGGAGGTTTTGGAGCAGCAGTTGGCTTTTCAGGCTCTGGCTGAGGGTAGAAGGGGTAGGGGTAGAATGGTTGCTGTACTTGGCCCTGAGGGGCTTCAGGCTGTGGAGGTCTGGGAGCAGCAGTTGGCTTTTCTGGCTCTGGCTGAGGGTAGAATGGCTGCTGTACTTGGCCCTGTGGGGCTTCAGGCTGTGGAGGTTTTGGAGCAGCAGTTGGCTTTTCAGGCTCTGGCTGAGGGTAGAAGGGGTAGGGGTAGAATGGTTGCTGTACTTGGCCCTGAGGGGCTTCAGGCTG